TTTACTGCGGTTTACTAACATCATTACGCGAATTCTCTGTCTTACAGCGAGAGATAATCCTCGAATTAAATCTCGTAAGTCTGTAAGTCAAGTTTATGTTGAATTCGCATTGTTAATCCCATCTGTTGTTCGCTTCTCGGGCACGTTTCCTTCGCGAGCAGAGCCTTCGATGTGACACCGCGCACATCCGAGAATACGGGTTACGTATCGTGGCAATTTACGCACGAAATCAAATCAAACCGGAACAAAGACGTATATATATATGCGCGCGCTCACGCGCGACTCGACTCGCTAATATTATTTGCCGACATCTCGCCGACAGCTCGCGATTCGTGTCTGATTATTCGCTCAAGAACGGCGATGCGGGAACGCGATTTTCGGTATCGCGACTTGTTATCGCGACCCTTTTCGTCGTGTGAGAAGAGCGCGCAGAACAAACGAGAAAGTATAAGACGCGTTTATCAAAAGGAAATACGCTTACGACATCCGCGCTCGAAATTCGCAAGAACTCGAGACAAAGAACGCGACGTGACTCGCTCCGATTAATTGAATTTTACACCATCCGAAGAGCATGTGTAATTCTATTTCCTGTTACGCGATCATTGAATTAAACAGAAAGATATATTAGATAAATTGGTTTAATCGTATTTGGAATCTCGTAAAAGAAGAAAGTCGATGACATAATGAAACAGAAATTTAAATTATGTTTCAAACTTCTGAAAATGAATTCGAACATTTTGAGATACATTTCAGTTAACATTCGAAGATGTTTTTTGGGTTTGAACCGCGTTTCGCGAACATTTCAGTTCGGCCGATATAAAAATGACGGCGGTTCAAACCCGAAGAACATCTTCGAATGTGTTGATACAACACATCGCGATAACATCAAATATCAGACATTTCATTTTATTCTGTCAAAGTTCAAAGATCAAGTTGCACTAAATTATTCACGAAACGTTGGTACAAAAATGACATTTAACGCAATTCGAATTCGAAAAACCATATTTTCATCAGGGGGTTCACATCTGACGAATAAGGCGAATGAGACAGCACATCGAAGTTCAATTGACTATTACGCGTCAGTGAATGAAGGTGAGCTGGTGCATCGTCAAAAAACTGAGAGAGAGAAAGAGAGAAAGAGAGCATCTACTTTGGCGAGCTGTCACACAAACACCATATGCAATAATGAGGCAAAAGATTTGACACTTGTTTTTCTGAAAAATGAAACTTGTCAACACAGCAATGTGATGCCGTACTGTCGCTATCGTTTCGGATACCTATCAAAAATGCTCATACGTATACGTATCGATTTGATTTCCGCTCCGCTGTGCGCCCAGCGGGCGCCATGTGATTACAATATGACGGATATGTGCCCTGTTCCGAGTTTTCTCTCGCGGAAAAAATCGCAGAGATAGATACACGACGAGGCAGCTGAATGTCGATATCGGAAACGTCGGCGAATGAGCAATAAAACATGAACCAACGACAGTTAAAAAAGAAACCTTCGCTCGAGGCTATATAAAAGTAAAGCCGATGAGGACACGGATCGACTGCAGCGAACGAAATCTTTCCCCCCCCGCGTAGATTCGTCGCGCAAGTGCATCTTGAAAAAGCGAGAAAAGAAGAATAAAGAAGAAAAAAGAAGAAAAAAACAAGTTAGGATATATCCAAGTAATATTATTTGCGGATCGCGATAGTCTCTCGTCGTAGTCTTCCTTTTCCCTCGACGTTCTCGAACTTGGATAGAATGTCGAGAACTACGTGATCTATTTGGTTTTCGCGTTCGTTCCTTGCCAGCCTCGAACGGGTATACTTGGAATATGCATGACATCGCCGTAGGCATCGAGTCACGTGCCGTGCTTGAATTTATCGGGAGCGACGACGGAAGTGCCTCTCGTAGCACCCAGGAACGGCGAATTCGAAAGCACGGGAAGAGAGAAAAAAGACCTATATACGAATCTTCGGGAGAAATGTTCATTGTGAGCTATAGTCTAACGTAACGTTCGCGCGTACCGCGTGTTTATGAGCCGCCACGGGCGGAGGGAATTTATGAGGCTCAAGAAGCGCGCACAAGAGCGGCTGAATTCCCGACGGGGATGGCCACGCTAGCGCTCCGCTCCCGCGAACAAGAAATACCAAAAAAAAAGAGGAGAGAAGAAACCACAAATCCGGAGAAGAAAGGTAATTGTGGAACCCCGTGGCCGTTGCAAAAGATGCCCGTAGGTGGCGAAACCACGAGCCAACATAAGATAGCATTCCGCGAATTTATATCGTCGATTTGTGCAACGAGAGCTAACCACGACCAAAGGGGATGGAAGAGCAATAAAATAAAAAAATTGAAATTTCAATTCAAACAATTTTGTGTAAATTTGATGCTCTCGCGATGTGTGTTGCACTAACATTCGAAGATGTTTTTCGGGTTTGAACCGCGTTAGAGTGTTATTTTTATAACAAACGTACATGACTTAAATCCATTTAAGTCATCATCTCAGTGGGATATACTATAAATATATATTTATACAATCAAGTTGATGTCTCAAAAAGAGGCGTTACTGAACAGTTTGTCAGAAGTGTTGTGCAGATGTATTGTATTTAAAAGTTACACATACGTTTCGACTTTAACATTTTAAGTCTTTTTTTCAGTGTTCTTCAACAAAACAATCACATCTAAGAGCCTGCATTTAATTGTCAAGCTGTTAAAACGATCATGTCAATGTTGTTCCTTTAAACTCAGTCGTTAGACTCAGTCGAAACGTAAAAAGAAAATTATAAAAAAGAAATGATCTATTGATACAAAATTTATACAATAATGCACCTTAAATTAATAATCTTTTATAAATAAAATACGTGAGACAATATGGATTTGTTATGCATTAAGACAAATTATCGAAATGATGTCACAGTTTTTTAAGTTGATATAAATGTCATTAAATTAAAATTGTTATTATGTGCTTAAAACGATGTTAAATATTGTCAATATGCTGAGCACTGTCGGTAGTAAAACATCGTCAAATGTAAATCGGAAACGAGAGTCAGGACTATTTATACGTATATAAATAGTATCGATAATCGAATTGTTTAATTTAAATTTTGTATCTGAGGATTTTCCTTTACAAACCGCAAGTCACATCTCATTACTTTATCTTATTACCTTAATAAGTAATATTTGACGTAAAAAAAACAGTAGCTGGTTATACTACTGAATATGGTTAGAAGTAAAATTTCGGAAAAATTTTGCAATAAATTAACAAGAAAAAATGCAATAAAAATGCAAATATAAAATCCGAAGCAGCGCGCGGTTTTCGTGTTCTACTTCATAAAGTTCGCTGTTTTCTAACGTCCGATTTCGAGTCGCAGTAAGATGAAAATGTTATTTCTACAGCTGTGTGGATATGCAGAGTCCGGATGCGAAACTCTCCGTATGGAATGCATCACATCAGCAGCGCAACTACGCGACATCCGGACTAAATCTGCTTGTTCAGCCACATTACCGATGCAACGAAACGACGGGGCTGCGGCGACGCCGCACCGGCAAAATGCAACGCCGGATAGGGTAGCGAATGAGATTGTAGAACAACCATGCTCTGCACAACGATGCAGCTGGCGCATACGCGCATACGCGGGCGTTGCGTTTCGCATAGATCGTTGTCTCGAGAGAGAGGATGCAAACTTATAGGAGAGACTATATACAAAATTTAAGGAGAACCGACGATTACGACGTTCGCGCGATATACGTGAAGTTTCTCGCGATTACGGTTTTTCCTGTCACGCGTTCGTCAGCTGTACGTCACACGATCAATCTCTCGAAAGAATTAATGAGACGAAGCGACGAAAGAGAGAAAAATAAGATAACATTAATTTGTCAAACATTAATCATCACCTGAGACATTTATTAAAAAAAAAAAAACAAACTAGAACGACATGTAGCAAGATCTTCTGTGTGTGTGTATTCATTATGTGATAATATTTTAATATAATAAGATGTTATTTTAAAAAGTATGCGCTTTTTTAGAATTTTCATTATCGGAAATTTGTGCTTTTTTTTTTGTTCGCATCAAAGAGAGAAAATCGAACGTAAATAAAAACGATATCTTCAACCGTAAGTTACAATTTAATTATGATGATCAAAAGAATTAATTCGCGTTCTCTCTCTCTCTCTTTCTCTGTTTCTTTCTGAAGTTTTATTTTCGCGAAAATACGCTTCACCGAACGCATCCTATCTTCTTTCATTGGCCAGCACGCTCGTCATTTAATTCCCGAGACGTAATATCGATATCGTACAAAAAATAAAAAAAACTGTTGCATTTTATGCACAAATACAACGTTCAGAACACACAACATTTTGCCGATTACCGCGAATTACTTTTGCGCCAGTAATACACACGACGTTTTAACTACTACTCGCGTTCGTTAGCTCTTTAAATTTAATACTCCGAGAATAATTTTTCTCGCAACGACGAAATCACATCGCGTTATTTTCAATTCCGTTTCTATCGTAAAATTCTCTTCGAAACTCATTCCCGTACTCGGTATACAAAACGGTAAACAATATGTCTTCGCGGGACTGTTTTAAACTTCATAATCTCTGCATACCTATAATGCACTGGCTTACAGTAAGCTTCAGTTTTCGGAATATTCAATATTCCACACAACGTTTAAAACTAGATTTTACAAGTTGGTGTTATCCTGTCTTATATATTTTTAAAAGCAAATACACAATTTATGTAAATAAAAATTTAAAAAATAGAAAAATTAATATAAATAAAAAAATCAAACAAACACAATTTGAAACATAAAAACTTAATAAATAAGAACTAATATAGTAAAAAAATCAAGAATAAATATTATATAAAAATATATTGAAAGAATAGTGGTTTTTTATTCTCACCGCGCGCGCACACTGATTATAAAAATTAGAATCGCACAAACTGCGAAACTAATATAATAGTTTTTTTGCGAATAAAGTTTTATTTATTGATTCCTACCGATCATCAACGTACAAAATAGATTATAAAAATTGCTTCTCTGCGTAAATAAACACAGAGTTTCGCGCCGATTTGCTCGTTTTATCACGTCGTGTTATTTATCACGGTCGTCCACTGGCTGCGCACATTTTTATTATTTTCCTCCACCTTGAAACTCAACAGTATCAAGATATCTCGCGGTTTTCAGGTTTTTCACTGCCGAAGTAACTCGACTCCGCCGCCCGCGCGCGAGACACAAACTGCACCGTCACACTGGATTTCACCGTTGTATATACTTCCACTCTTCAGCATCGCACAGTTCTAGAACTTCAAACGTCGCGGCGGGAAGACGCGTCTCTCGTTACTCGCTCCGCTTTTAGCACAGAGCGGAATCTTCAGCGAAACTGTCGCGAATCCGCGAAAGAGAAGACGATTGTCGCACTTTATCGTCAGTCTAGCGTCCCGTATTGTAAGTAAAACTTCTTCAAGGATGGGGGAGTATATGCGTCTACCTCCGTTCAACAAAGAGAAATAGAAAAACGTTGAGACGAACGTTGAAGATGAGACTTTCCAGCCTCGTCTTTTCTTCGCCGGGAGAGCAACTTCGAAACACGTCGAGAATTACTTTGCGCGTGTACTGGTTTCCTTCCCCCCCACCCCCCCCTGAAACGGGTCGTCGGGTGCTTATTTCCCTTAAATGGAAATCGGGCGAAGACGAATGCAAACGCGGAGAGACGATGCGAGATCGAAAAACGATCCGGTCGTAACACCGGTTCACAGTCGACTGAGGATGCAAAGAACGGACGAAGCACACCGACGCGATGTGTCTGTCCGACTTGCTCGTGCAGCAACGGGCCCTCCACGGGGTCCCGTGTGGTGGGGAAGGGACTCTCTCGTTTCACGGGCCCTCAAGGTAGCGCGCGTTCCGTTGCGGGGTTCGAGCGAGCGCCTGCTGCTCCGAGCAGGAAGAAACGACTTCTGCCCACGAGGCCATTATTGTTTGCGCTATTATTATTGTTATTATGCGCATCCTGCGTTTTGATCGGGGGGAGCCGCGCCAGTTCGCGAGGTGACAAGGCGCAATTTTATTTTTTCGCAGCCGCGACGCGTACAAATGCGAGAGCGATGAATATTTCTCGCAAAAAACAGGAGTGTTCGGATGATTGGCAATGACATAAGCGAGCAATTTTTCCGCGATTATTGCAGCTGCGTTGATTTTTGGAGAAGTTGTATATATTTGACGAAACGCGAGTGTAACAAGCGCTACAATTTATTTATAACAGGATTCGAAATAAACAGTTACCTCTCGTTTATAAAAACATTTTGTTAGAACTTGTTTGTTTTATTTAAGAGAATATTTATTCCTGTCGAATTTTTATAAAAAAAACCTTACCGTAAAGAATTTCTATCAAAAGTGTTCTTATAGAACAAATATTCTATAGAATCTGTGTAATAAAAGTTCCATGAAAACAAGTTATTCTAGAATTGTTTATTAGAAAAGGTTTAATTTTTTTATAAAAAAAATAAAACCATCAAACTAATTTCAATTCATAAAAGTATTAAACATTCAGAATATCAATTTAATTGTAATTATTATTTAATATTGTAGTATTATTCACTGAATAATATTTAGTGTTTGTCATAGTAAACAAAAACTTTTTAATGATGACAAATATCTGTTCTTGATAAAAAATTTTTAGTTTTACATTTTATAAGTTCTATGTAAAATTTTTATTTTCAACTGTTGTTAGGAAGTTTTCTTTTTATCTGTTCTCGTCGAAACTTATAAGAAGAGAACTTGTTTCACAAAAAGTTCCATGGTTTATGTTTTAAACAGATGGTATTAAAAAGTTCCATAGCTCTTTCGATCCCTGATTTATAATGTTATTGTAATTTAACTCTTCGTGAACTGACTTCTAAAAATGCCTACTAATTAGAGTAGTAGACTTACTAGGTCTGTGTGAGACCCGACTTTAAAATTAAACATCTCGGCGAAAAATCAATATTTCTTAATTGTTTTTGGATCGAAAGTTTGAAAGCTTCTGTATTGATAAAAAAAAAAAAATTGAAAAAAATCTCTAGTAGTTTCAAAGATATAAGCGTTTAAGAAAAACTAATTTTTACTAGAGACATTAACACGCAATTTTTAAGTGAGTCTGAAAGACCCACTTATGTACACACACATAGAAATAATTATTTTTACCGTTTTTTTCTAAAAAAATGCGCATTTTGCAAATAAATTTCTATTTCTTTAGCAAAACTAAAAAGATCACGAGACAGAGTCAAAGCGTGTCATTTTTCGTTGCACAGTCATAAACTTGTGTTCTTCGTTAATTGCAGTCCTTCCTTTTGCAACGCTCGTTATTTTGCAAAATTTAACAGTACGCATTCACACAGCAATTTCGAAAAGCGTTGGAATTTACACGGACGGACTCGTACCGGTCTCGGAAATAATCGCGAAAAGCTTTCACGGGGGACGAGAGAACCGAAAGAATTTCTATTATACCACGCAATGATAAATTTTCATAAAGGAACACATAGCCTTTCACCCTTTTTAGGAGCAGATGCTCGCGGTATTAGAACGACCTGGCCTGAATTGGAAAAGTGTAGCATCATCATGCGCAGGCGAAACACCTGAGCCGCGACTGCTGCGCAATAATCTGCCTTTACCTGCGTCGCCAAACAATGCGTTACCGCGGCAATGCATGGCATTCCGACCCCAAAAAATACGATATTAATACCAGAAGCTTTTACACTGGCGATCAAGCACAAAACTTGGGCGCATATAAACGCGCCGTCAATAATCCTCCCTCAACACACACGTGTTTTTTCTAACAAAAGAGAGCCACAAACAAAATTGCAAATTCATACTGCTATTTGCGAATTAATTTGAAAAATCAAGCGCGCGATTAAAAGTATTTATTTACCGTGAAAATAAATAAACGACGCAGGCAGAGGCAGAAAATTTAATTGATATGCGCTCGAGGTGCCGTGCGTGATATAATTTATTTCAATTAAAATTGCACGTGAAAGAGGCGCGCACGTTTTCCTATTTTTCCCTCTTTCCGCCCCTGTATTTATAAACGTTGCATATTTACGAATGGCACAAAAAGAGATGAGCCCGAGAATGCAGACAATAACAGTAAGTATTATTAACAATTGCAGTTACATTTATAACAAACAGACACATACACACACACACACACACATACACGAGATCGCCATTATATCTGTATATTTTCCCCTCTTCTACATATATTTTTATTATACATTTTTCTGAAAAAAAAAAAAAAATCATGTAAAAGGTTTTTTTTAGATACAAATAAAAATATCACAGTTGTAATTTTTTTTCACTAAGTTTTCAACTGTTTTTCAACGGAAATCTGCATGCCGTGGCATACTAATGAGTCGCGGCGCAATTGCGAACGTGATATTTTTTGTAATCTGCTTGCCTCGCAGCTTTTCGAGCAAACTCGTGCGATGAAGAAAGATGCGAGTACGTGTATATAAAATTACGCAAATACGTACGTTTATTATATCTTATCTCATCTTGTCTGTAACTAAAATAATATGTCGGTTATTTTGATAATGGCGTTCAGACACATAGAGAAGACCTGTGCACAAAAATTACATAGAGAATTCACATTTCTTAAATTCGAGCCATTATCATTTTTTAATTGCACAAAGTCTATTTTAATTGCGACGGACATTTGCTACTTAACCAGGGGTTGAGAAATTATAATAGCCACATTAAGATTTCAATTATGATAATCTGCGAGAGCGCGCAATTAGGGAAAAGCCGCTCACCTTTCTGCGGCTTATATCGCGTACGGATATCCGGGAAGTGGTGATTTTATAATCATTCTCTTCGTTCGTATTTTATAAGCGGAACGAGGCGCCATTACTGTTCGCGCAATCTCTCTTTGCGAAGTGGTGAAGTAGCTCCGAATATGTGCTCCGATAAGAAAAGCGAACGTAAAAAGTTCGCGTGCAATGTGCGACGTTATTAAATAACATCGAACGACCGGCCGCGGTAAAAACCGGCACAAAGTGTGCGCCGCATTATGTGTGTGTACACGCATGCACGACGACAATAGCGGTAATAAATAAGAAATGTGCGGTAAAATTCGCGTATTTTGTCACATTGAAATTTTTTTTTCTCCCCCTAGAGAATACGTGGCACGACAAGCAATGAAGAATTGTGTGCTATTGTGATCGGTTGAAAGGACGCGTGAAAATGTTTCACGGTATCATAATTCGCTATCGATGCACACGAGAGCTTTTGTCGGGATCGCGTTTGCATTGGCGCCGTGCCACGTATAACAGGTGTCACAAATAGATTGCTCGACGACAAAACTTTGTCGTTTATGACTATCAGTCTGATTCCGAGTGATGCGAAATTGAAAAAAAAATAAAAAATAAAAAAATAAAAATCGAAGTATATCGAAAGATATAAATTTTGTACGTTCATTCAGCGCGCCGATAAAAAAGTGGTTAGAGAGATACATATTATTTTATACTGTCGCGCGATGTGCAAATAAAAAAAAAAAAAAACGAGAGACATTGGCACAAGTGGCGCAAGTAAGAAGAGAAATTATCTTTTGAGCAAGAGAAATTGATACTGATTAAACCGATTTCGAGAGATCATCTTGGAAAAATCCGGACAACGACAAATACACGCTGGCAAACGGATAAAACTCGGAAAATGCAGCTCCGATGCTGCGAGAAAATCGTAATGGCGTGTTTTAACAAATAGCGTGTTTAAGGATACAAAACCTCGGAGTAGTTTAGGCAAACTGCTGTTCACTACCACGATGCTCTCTCCCTCGCGCGCGATTAGCCGAACGATCTTCTACTCTACTACAGTTGAGTATCCAATCCGTTTGCGGCTTGTAACGTATTGTACTGTAGCGAATCTTTATTTGTCTGACATAAAAAAAAAAACACAAGAAAACAAAACTCGTTAGGAAGAAAGCAGCAATTTCTATTCATTATTCAACGTTTTTAGTGAAGAGCATGGTACCTATTGTATATATAACTTTCGGGATTATTTTAAAACAGAATATAATTCTCTTTTTTGTTATTTTCCTTATTACATACATGTGTACATTCAAAAAAATAAACAATCATGTCAAAATCTATCTAAAAAACGATGAAAACCGTTTTGATGTCTGGAAACTTCGATAAAATTTAAATATAATATTACATTTAAAAAAATAAGTTTTTAAGAGGTGGTTTAAAAATTGTATTAATTAAATAGAGATGTTTTTACCATGAAACTTTTGTGCAAAACATCTTTCGACATCTCAAATAATAGTTCGAGCTATTTCGCGAGAAAAACAAAATTCTGCACATGAAAAATATATTTACCTCTTGATTGCTTTTGGGTTGCAACTGAAAATGTTTTAATTTATTTATTTACTCTCCCACATGTGTATAAAAAATATATAAAAAATTCTGTTTTTCATCAAAATCTGAATTTTTGTCTGTGCGAGAGGTTTGCTTGTTAAAATATATCATATTTTAGTAAGGAAAAAAAAAACAAAAAATAGAATGCAAACAAAAAGTTTTAAGCAACACAACACGAACGACCTACTTTTTGCACGCCACAAAGCGGTCAGAAATGACTTGAAATCATACCAAAAGTTTCGCACGCTTTTGTGTAAAAATAAGTGTTGAGCAACAAATCAAGATGTTTGTTTAATAAAACACACTATAAAATATGCTGAAAACCTACAATGGTGTGTGATTGGAGTGTGATTTAGTGCAAGAAAAAACGCAAA